TCCTGTGGCTTCTGCTAGTTTTTTTATCTGGGCTTTGTCTTCTTGCCCAAAGTCATTTTATTAGTAGTTGACAGAGCTGGTCTTTGAACCTAGACAGTCATTCTTCACTACTACACTGCCTGCCATGGGTATTGTTGCCCAAGGGAAATGCAAAATAGCATGAAGAAATAAAGACCGTGATGTAGACAATCATTTAAGGTAATTAGATGAGTATTTGTGACTCTTCCTTCAGATTTCTGGTTAGGACAGTTACAAAGAGGGAGAGGCAGATTCAATACTTTTCTGCCTCTGGTACATTTATTCCATTTTTTTTGTTAGTATTAAGCATCTGTGTTATTTCTAGTAAGATTCTGTAACAGGTTAGGAAGCTGCAGGCCTTGGACCAAATTTTTTTGTAAAGAAATTTTATTGGCACTTAACCACAACCATTAACTTGTATATCATCTATGGCTGCTTTGGGGCTACAACAGCATAGCCGATTAATTATGACAGAGGCCCACAAGACCTAAAATATTTATTATCTGACTCTTTATAGAAAGTTTACAGATCCCTGTTCTCTAATGTCAAGAAATGATATTTCTAAAGCTTTTAGATCCATATTGCCAAATTCGTTATTCTGACCAGCCTTACATATTATAATGTCTATCTTTGACTATCTTTATAGGATTCATCCATTCTTGTGAACTTAACATCTTATACCAAGAATAACTAAACAAACAAACAAAATAAAACAGAGCAAAGCCTCAGGTTAGACTTCAGAGGAATGTACATGTTGTTTTCTCTCTCTCCCTTTCTTCCTACTGTTGGAATTTCAATCAAGAACACGCAGAGAATTTTCCAGGTTTTTACCCCATGTGATAATAACTCACGTAATGGGATTTTTCAATCATGTGGCATGTTAGAAAATAAATAATGATCTGCATTTTAACATATGCACCAGAAACTAAATTAAAAATCACCAATGTATCATAATAATGCAGTGTATTGAAACAAATTCTTAACAGGTTTTTTTGGAAACAAAAAGAGGGACTTCAAATTAAAGACAGCTGTTTTTAGGGGACATTAATCATTGTTTTTCAGCTTCTCAACATCAGAACTATTTCTTGAGAATTCCTTACTTTCTGAGTTTGGGTAGTAGAGAGAGCTCAATGTATCAGGCACTTTTTCCCCTGATGTTTCTTATGGCGAGAGAGGCCGTGGCTCTGTTTCTGACCACCCCAGAATTTGAATTGGGCGATAGTGCTACAACAGTGGGACCTACAGAAAACCCACTCTGATAGTTACACCAGTTGTAGCAAGAGCAAGTTCATAAAGGAACATGCCATTGATGCTAGATGGTGGCATCCAGGACACAGTAGGAGGTACCAGCTATACAGGGACACAAGCTTCATTCTGTATTGTTTGGCAGTGGTGCACACAGGGAACTGACCCAGCTTTGCTATGTGTTGGGGATATGCTACCTGGCTACTTAACTTCTGAATCTCATTCTCCAACCTGTGTTAAAATTCTGTGAGCTACTCAATATCTTTTAACAAATTCCTTTCCTGCTTAAATCAGCTTAAGTTGGGTTTTGTTGCTAGCAACCAAGAATTCTGACTGCATAATGGTTTTTGGTTTTCACAGAGATTTTCTGAAGCATAGTGCACAGTGATTCACCCTCCTCAATATGGGATTTGGGTGTGTAAATGGTAGCAGTGAGCTACGATTGTCAAACATTTTTGTTCATATAGCTTCTAAAGTTTTTTCAAAATAAAATTTAAACTAAAACCACTTTTTATATGCTTACTTTAAAATTCTATATTTTTTAGGTCGTGAGTTTATTAATTACAAAGAATGTAATTTCTGGCACAGTATTTTGTTTATGTGTTTAAATGTATTTTCACTAAAACCTTGTAGTTGCAGAGCTACAAGGCAGAGCTTTTATGGCAGAGCCCATCAGCTCGCTTTATTTTTCTATTTACATAAATGTGTTACTATGCATGCTATGAGAACTTTTGGAGAGTCAATCCACCAAGAGCCCTGAAAACCACTGCACATTCTTTCTGGGGATGCTGCGAATACAAAGCCCTGACTACTGTTTTATTGGGAGATTTTTGTGTCTCTTCTAGCTCAACTTCCAGATAAATGGTATGTAATAATAACCATTTTTCAGTTCTTTCAAAATGATTTCAGTGTGCTCCAGTGTACTTTGAGTTGTGCATCTCTATATTGAAAGGCTTTTTCTGGAACCCTGTCTATGTGTGGGAGGCTAGAAATTCTGAGAAATTAGCAACTCCCGCAGAGTAGTCTTCAATTAATGACTGAGTTTATAAATACCTCAACCTCTTCATCAGTAAGGTGGGATTGTTTAGGTCCAGTCATTCAGCGTAGTAGCTGGCTTAATAGTAAACCTTTTGTTGGCTGACTGCCTTTCCTTGTAACACCTCTCCACTCCCTTGCTGGTTTTCTCCTAAATAAACTACTTGCCCTTAAATTCTTGCCCCAGGATGTTTTGGGGAGAACTCAAACTAAAGTAGAGATCGTGACTACCTCTTCCTTTAAAAGGGGTCTGTGTCTTACTTGAGTTTGAGAAGCAGTAGCCTAGCCTAGTCCCAGTCTTTTTCATCTTTGATTTCACCTGATCGTCTTTTATGTGAAGCAAAGGACAAGGCTTCTGCCCATCTCCACGTATCTGCACAGACCTCTGTAAACATTCCTGGGTAGGAAATCATGGCTATCACCACAGTTGATATAAGTGGATTGTCTACTCAAAAACAAGATTCTTGTTTTTATTAGACCATAGCCAGTCTGCTGCACTAACTTCAGCTTGGCGCAATGATGTAGCAAGAAATGAAACACAAAATAACTTATTTATCTGACTATAAAACATCAAACATTTATTTCATGGTGTCAGGGTAGAGTCTTGAGTGTGGAGTGTCCCTCATTAATCCTGAAATGATGTAAAAGGCAGAGAGTGAGCCCACAGTTCAGAGCTGCTCTGACCTGTTGATTCATTCTCATGTGAGGTTCAGCTCCCCAGACTCTGGGTATACCAGTTGTCACAGCCACTAATTTATATGTTTAATCTCATAGATGTCCTTTGCCCTGCTTGCTGACTGGTTCAAAACAAGCCACAGTGAAAGCACTATTAAGTGAGAGTGTTTTGCCATTCTCTCGTGTCCTCCAGCACTAACCAGCCTCTGTGGTCTGGCCATAGGTCACCACCACCAATAAAACTGTACATCCCCCAAACATATTGGGTTCTTCAGGCAAACATCTGACAAATATGAGCCCACCTCCCCTCTCCCCAACACCACAATGTTTATAGCTGTGGCTTTCAAGAACCCTGAGCCAAACTCATAGTTCAGTGATTTTAGTCATAGAGATGAAGGTTTGAACTACTCATGCATCTTTCCTGGAATAACTGGGCATGGGCTGGTAAACTTGCAAGGACCTGCAGTTTATAGAATAAGTTATTCTTACCAATATGGTAAAAACTTAAAAAGTGTGTTTCCAGTTCATGTATCAGAAAATCTTGATGGAAATAGCTTTTCTTGTGTCTCCCTGTAGCTGTCCCTCCTTCCCCAACCTCAGAATTGGACAGAATACCATGGGGATAAGTGAAAAAGAAGATCCTTCTTTGTAATTGCTTTTCACTCCATGAAAATCATCTTAAGCAAATGGATGACTGTAAACACATCAGGAATTCCCAGTCTGACCTAAATTCCAGAAGTTAACATAACTTATCTTAAATTTCTCTTCCCCTGTACACTTCACACACATACACACATCTTTTATAAAAAGACTTTTATTGCTCTTGTGGAGAAAATATATGTGCATGTTTGTAGCATGTGTGTATGTATATGTACCAATAACCACCATACGAAAGCAGAAAGAAAATACACAGTAGTGTTTATTACCTACGCATATACTGCTGGGAACAGTAGCTCTCTTTGCATAGCTAGGTTTTTCAGCTCCTTTGTGGGTAGTATCTCTTGCCCCTTTCAGTTGCCAAGGTAACTGAGAATCAGGAGAACTCTACTGGACAGACAACCTTATTTCCTGACCATTATCAGTTCTAAAAATGGTGGAGCAGAGTGCAAGATACTCTGGTGATCATTGTTTATCTAAAGCTAAATGGGACACTATTCTTTCTCTTGAGGAGCTTACACTGTAATGGCATCTTTTGTAAAAGAAATAGAACTAGCTGAGGTTGTTCTCCCTGTGAGTTTGAGTTGGCAGACATGGGAATGGAGTTAAGCACAATTAGCTCGCCTTTCAATGGGGGCAGGATCTTGGATGGAAATGAGAATTGGAAGAGTCCAGTGTTAGCACTGGAGGATTATTCCTTTTGTCCAAGAAGTGGAGAGATAGGCAAAGGCCTAGGACTGGTTGGGAGAGACAAAATATTATAAATCCAATTTAGAAGACTGACCTAAAATCTCCAGATTGGTTTATGAATCAATTACTAATTGAATATCTCTTCTTGCCTTAGTGTGATAAATTGCCCAATATTGATTTAGAAAAAATTATTGGTATCTCTCGGTGATTTCACTACTTGGTCTGTTCCTTTAATCATGCCATACCCTCCACCCAAGGCTCTGCTGTGGCTTCTTACCTGCTGAGGGGCAGGTTCAAGCCCATGCACAGTATGCCCAGACTACTTCATCATGAATTGTAACGCTCTAGTTGACCCCATTTATTCAAAATCCTAAGAGAGCTGCTCAACCCACATCAGAATCCAAGTGAATAAGAAATAAATTATGTATAATAACAGAGATTTGGAAGTCTTTGAAAAACAGTAGTTAGCTATACACTAAGATATTTTTTATTTCATACACTAAGTTTAAATTAGGGTGGAGGTAATAAAACGTAATTTCTGTTTAAATTATTAGTCATGAAATTCTGAATCAAGGCAGTTTCATCAGCGCAATTAAACATTTTATCAATGTAGAATGTTTTTGGAAGAACAAAAACATGTTGCAAAGTTTTCAGAATGTTTTATGTTTTGTTAAAATTAGGTTGAAAACTGGATGACAAGGATTTTGAATCCTAGGAAAGACTCAGGGATCCAAGATTCTACCATCCTCTCATTTGACCTCCACAGTCATTGAAGAAAGGGAAGAGAGGACTTTGGAATCATATAAACTATTAGGTTGGTGCAAAAGTAATTACAATGTTGGACCATGAATTTTAAATCATTATAACTAGACTCAAGCACATCTTTATTAATCAAAATAGAAACAATTATAATCAACACATTGTTGGCAAAGAGAAATAAGTTTGTTTATTCCTGTAGCATAAAAATCTGTGCTTTGGGATTCAAGGAATTCTTGGAAAGCATTTTCTGCATCCTGCTGGTTGTGGAAGCCTTTTCCTGCAAAAAGCCATTGCAATGCTTGAAGAAGTGGTAGTCGGTTGGCTAGAGGTCAGGTGAATATGGCGGATGAAGCAAAACTTCATAGCCCAATTTATTCAACTTTTGAAGCATTGCTTGTGTGATGTGCAGTCGAGCATTATTGTGGAGAAGAATTGGGCCCTTTCTGTTGACCAATGCTAGCTGCAGGCATTGCAGTTTTTGGTTCATCTCATCGATTTGCTGAGCATACTTCTCAGTGTAATGGTTTTGCCAGGATTCAGAAAGCTATAGTGGATTCAGAAAGCTATAGTGGATCAGGCTAGCAGCAGACCACTAAACAGTGATCATCACCTTTTTTTTGTGGGGGGGGGGTGCAAGTTTGGCTTTGAGAAGTGCTTTGGAGGTTTTTCTCAGTCCATCCACTGACCCAGTTATCGCTGGTTGTCGTATAAAATTCACTTTTTGTTGCACGTCACAATCTATCCAGAAATGGTTTTTTATTGCGTACAAGAAGAGAAGACAACACTTCAAAATGACGATTTTTTTGATTTTTGGTCAGCTCATGAGGCACCCACTTATTGAGCTTTTTCCCATTTCCAATTTGCTTCAAATGCCAAATAACTGTAAAATATGGTCAATGTTGAATTATTTGGCAACTTCTCATGTAGTTGTAAGAGGATTAGCTTCCATAATTGCTCTCAATCGTTGTCAACTTCCAATGGCCGGCCACTGCACTTCTCATCTTCAGGGCTCTCATCTCCTTTGCAAAACTTCTTGAACCACCACTGTACTGTATGTTAGCAGTTCCTGGGCCAAATACATAGTTGATGTTGTGAGTTGTCTCCACTGCTTTTTTTTTTTTTTTTTTTTTTTTTTGAGACAGAGTCTCACTTGTTGCCAGGCTAGAGTGAGTGCCGTAACGTCAGCCTGGCTCACAGCAACCTCAATCTCCGGCTCAGCGATCCTCTGCCTCAGCCTCCCGAGTAGCTGGGACTACAGGCATGCGCCACCCATGCCGGCTAATTTTTTGTATATATATTTTTAGTTGTCATTATTTATTTCTATTTTAGGTGTAGAGACGGGTCTCGCTCAGCGCTGGTTTCGAACTCCTGACCTTGAGCAATCCGCCCGCCTCGGCCTCCCAAAGTGCTAGGATTACAGGCGTGAGCCACCACGCCCGGCCGTCTCCACTGCTTTATGACCCATTTTGAACTCGAATAAAAAAATCGCTCATATTTGCTTTTTGTCTAACATTATTTCCATAGTCTAAAATAAATATAAACAGCAAATAATAAGTCATTAGCAAAAAAATAAAGTTAGGAGAAATGCACATGAAAATGATGTATAATATAACCCACATTTATTTAAGGGTGTATTCTAATATCAAATGGCAAATGGCAACAATGCTAAAACTGCAATTACTTTTGCACCAAGCTAATAAAATCTAGGCCTTCATGTAGTTTTTATCACTTTGGAGTACATCCCATCTTCCAGAACTGAGTCAAATTCCCCAACTAAACCACATGGGAGGCCAAAAAATACAGTCAACTTGTATGCCCACAAAGAGGAATGGAATTGATAGCCTGTGCTCTTATAGAAATCATCTATCTAGAACTACTGCTCTTGTTGTAGACAAGGATAATATGATTAAAGAATTTGTTTAAAGAGCTTGCTTAAGGTCACACAAATACTCAGTGGTAGAAGTAGACCAGAACTCAGACAACCTGAACACTATACTTCCTCCACTGTTCCAAATTATGTTGACTGGGAGGCTTTTTGTTGCAAGCAATAGTAAACCTGAACCAAAGTAGATTAAGAAAGAAAAAACTTGGGGGTATACATAGGTTTATGTAATTGGATTATCCACAGACCATTCTAATTTTAGGCTTTAAGGGAAACTCGATTCATAGGTTCATGATGCCACCTGGCCACTGACTCCATTTTCATTCTTATAGTTCTGTCCTCCTCCAGGTGCTGGATTTATTTTCATGCTAGATTACCTCATAGCAGCATTAGTGAACCTCACATTCTTCTCACCTTGTCCAGGGAAAGTCCCTGGAGCTCCCACAGCAGAGCAAGGACATTTCATTTATAGGAATCCTTAGCAAATTAACATTTGATTGGCCAAAATGTGATACATGCCCATCCCTGAACCAATCACTGTGGTCAAGTGCAAGATATTGTCCTGGACTTAACGTGGGGATGGAGTCTAGCCTGTCAAACCACATGATTGCTATGTACTGTGAATCACTAAGTTTTAAGGAAAATCAAGTTTCTATTGGTTGGAAAAAAAGGAAAAATGGATGCAGCCAACAAATATCAACTATTTTCTAAGATGTATTTGAAATTAATGCAGTGAAGTTCTGAGATTTAAGATGCTTAATTTGCTCATCAATTCAGTTATCTTGAGTTGACTATATTCTCTATGTATAATATTTATAGAACCTAAATTATTACTAAAATATTTATTTTTTCATCTTAAATTTGGTTGAGGTTTTCTACATAACCATGAACCTAAGTTTGGAGATAATTTAGTGCTATATGTATAGTTTCAACCCTTTTAGTGAGAAATCCTAAAAATCTTATGGTTCAGAGTATAATGTTTATTTTCTGGAAGCTTATCCTCACAAGCTTTCTGGACAGAGTGTTACCTACATCCATTGCTAACTCAAAGAATAGAGAAATTTTCTTAGGGTTTTCGTCCAGTGTTGTTTGTGCCTGATCAGTTCCCCTATATATTTTCAAATAGCCTCTGAAAATATATTTGCCCCATTCCCAACAAACCCCATAATTCCTTGTCCTTTTCTTCTCTTTGATAGTTATTTTCAAACATTTTAGAATGAATTGTGCAAAATAAACATTTGCTTGTAGGTCCAAAAGAGCTGTACCTTTTTATATCTGAGAAAATGTTTTAAAACTCACCACCTACATAGCAATAAATGGTTTAATGATAGCATGTTAAGTGTACCATCAGAACTCTTTTATAGAATTTCATGAAAGACATACTAGGTTATTTTCATGGAAATTGGAATCATTTAAAAGATATTATCCTAAAAAAACATTCCATACAAACAACTTATATTTTCTATAGTATTTTTTAAAGATTTCTTTTAAAGATTGAACTGGCATTCATGTGAAGGTTTGATAAATCAGAGCAGTGCTGATATTATTAAAAGGTAATAATTTTGCAATCATCAGTAACAGGCTAAGATTGCAGGACTGTATTAGATCTTACATGAGAAAATACAAAACAATGTGTCATGTTTTAGTAGCTGTGATGATAAATGATGACATATATCTATGTACAGATAGTGTTGAAACAAATGAATTATTAAAGAATACAATTTTATTTTTATTATACTTATCTTTTTGGTTATTTTTACTTTTGTCAAGTATAGACTAGGTTGGTAATTGATGATAGTAATATGAAATATTCTTTAAAAATAAATTTAGGTTAAGAGGTAAATTTACTTGAAGAAAAATAGAATAAACAATGAAATTATAGTTGTTCTCAGAGAGAGTAAAAATCACCAAAAGTGGTATAAGTATAGCTAGAAATTGGGGAACGTTGACTTTGTCCTTCAGCATGTGCTTATGAACTTGTAAACAGTATAGAAACAAAAATTAGTTTTCTATGTGAGGATGATCTTAGATGTCCTCAAGGAACTTTGAAAGTTGAACAATAACATGCATAGTGCATTCAGTGCAGAGAAAAGCAGAACATTTTAAAGAGAGATATCTGCTACTAGACAGAAAGACATTAACGTTTATAAGGAGTGGATATGTTACTCAGAAAGATATTTTGAAATAAGAGTACAGAAGAAGGAAATTTGTAAAAGCACGCTTTCACCTGAAGAGAGAATGCTCTGTTAGGCTGATTCAAGTAGCCACTTGACAGGAATATTGCTATTTCAAAGATTGTCACAAAAACCAGATGTCATTACACATTCCAATAATGTAACTCCTTGTCCCGCTTCCTTGCTTCCAAATGCCCTGGTGATAATTGGGCTCATTGGTCCAGGCTCACTGTGTCTAGACTGTTTGGCCATCAGACTCATTGTAAATAAGTAAAGTGGCTTAAACATCAGACTCTGATGAGCTGCATTAGTATGAATCACCTTCCTGAGTGTGCTAAGTTTATGTTCACATTGATGAGATTAAGTTTCTGAGTCTGAAAGTTTGAAGGCTAGAACCTGGACTGGATGGCTGAATTAAGATATATACCACTTTATGGAGATCCATCTGGGTTAGCAGCATACCTGGAAAAGCATACCTAGGTCTCATGACTCATGTTTTCTCAACTTTGCCACTTTACTCTTCATGTTATTCATGATTTAAACCAAGCTCTTAATGTCATTTTCTGTCATATTAACATATGAGACAGGGAGATAGATATTCCCTGAAGGAAAAAATATATTTATTTCTGTCATTTATTTTTGCTAATATAAGGTCTCGGTGTTTAGCCAAGAAAGACATGTTGAATCCCAGCCTGGCCTGCAAACGAAGCATCAGACAAATGAAATATTAGTATTTCTCATTCAAACTACTGTATATCTTTCTCTTCTTATCCCTTTTTCATAGCCAACCTTTTAGAATGAGTCATTTGCTCTCACTGCTTCCACTCCTTCATTGCCAAACCTCTCTTCTTCGTCCTCCACCATCTGGCTTCCACCCTCATTATTCGGATGAAACTGTCTCCAAGGTTTCTGACAGCTAATAGACAGAGTTTCTTAATTATTATTCTACTTGATTTATCTGCAAAATTGGATAGTATATTTTATGCTCTTTTGAAAATA